CTTCCCAGGACCTCCATGTCCTCCACAACCCTGCTCCTTCCCCTTGGACCTTCCCATGTCCTCCACAACCCTACTCCTTCCCCTTGGACCTTCCCCTGAGCCACCACCCAAGACCTCCCTCTAACACAACCCCCCCCAATCCCCCACCCAGGACCCCCAGGGGGGTTCCCTGCTCCCAAGACACCCCATCTTGATCCCAACAGGGACCCCCCAACTTCTCCAGCCTCCCCCCTCCTCCCTGACCACCCCCATCTTGTCTCTTCCAGGCATCCGACTTCTACGTGGAGATGAAGTGGGAGTTCACCAGTTGGGGTGAGTGGGGCCGGGGGGGTTGGAACAGAGGGGTGGGTGTCCCCTCCCCACCTTGCTGGTGGCACGTCACTGATGGGACACGTGTCCCCCACAGTGCCACTGGTCTCCAAGGTGTGCCCCAGCGACGTCTACCGTGTCTGGAAGCGGGGGGAGAGCCTGCGGGTTGACACCACCCTCCTGGGCTTCGAGCACATGACGTGGCAGCGCGGCCGCCGCAGCTACATCTTCAAGGGAGAAGGTCAGCTCCGGATCCCCAGGGACCCCCCGAGACCCCCCCACGACCCCCAATGACCCATCGGTGACCTTGGGGATCCCCCCAGACCCCATAAAGACCTCAAATCCCCTATAGGGACCTCCTGGGGACCTCCTTCCAGCAGGGTTGGGGACAGACTTGGACCCTCTCACACACTAGGGACCCACCAATGACCTTGGGGATCCCCCCCAGACCCCGGGCACTATAAGTTCTCCCCCATAAAGATCTCAAATCCCTTATAGGGCCCTCCTGGGGCCCCCCTTCCAGCAGTGTTGGGGACCACCTCAGCCCCCCCCCCAACACACACTAGGGACCTCAGTCCCCTGTAGGGACCCCCAGTTCCCCACCAGGACCCCCTGAGGACCCCTTCCATGAGCGCAGGAGACCACCTCAGTCCCCACACATACCCCTTTAAGGACCTCAGTCCCCTCTAGGGACCCCCAGTTCCCCACCAGGACCCCTTGGGGACCCTTTCCAGTGGTGCTGGGGACCATCTCAACCTCTACACACCCACACCAGGGACCTCAGTCCCATGCAGGGACCCCCCAAGGTCCCCAGATATCCCCAAGATGGGTTGACCCCTGGGCTTGAAGGTATTGGGGTGCCATGAGGGCCCTGGGGCAGATGTGGGTGCCAGGGTGGCTGTGTCAGGGGCTGACCCGTTGTCCCTCTCTTTGTGCAGAGGAGGGGGCAGTGGTGATGGAGGTGGACCACGACAAGCAGGTGGTCTACACAGAGACGCTGGCCCTGGCCCTCCACGAGCCCGACCTGCTGCTGGCGGCCATGCAGCCCTCGGAGGAGCACGTGGCCGGGCGGCTGACGTCCCCCATCGTCTCCACGCACCTTGACACCAGGAACATCGCCTTCGAGCGGTGGGATGTCACCCCAGGAGGGTGCTGGGTGGTGGTGGGCAGGGGACAGGGGGTGGCATGGTGATCCCCCATCATCTCCACGCACCTCGACACCAAGAACATCGCCTTCGAGCGGTGGGATGTCACCCCAAGAGGGTGCTGGGGGGTGGTGGGTAGGGGACAGGGGGGGGCGTTGTCGTCCCCCATCGTCTCCACGCACCTCGACGCCAGGAACATCGCCTTCGAGCGGGGGGACGTCACCCCAAGAGGGTGCTGGGGGGTGGTGGGTAGGGGACAGGGGGTGGCATGGTGGTCCCCCATCGTCTCCACACACCTCAACACCAGGAACATCGCCTTCGAGCGGTGGGATGTCACCCCAAGAGGGTGCTGGGTGGTGGTGGGCAGGGGACAGGGGGTGGCATGGTGGTGGCCCATGGTGTGGTTGAGGAGGGGGACAGCCCCTAGCGAGAAGGGACCGTGCAAGGGCTCACACGGGGTGGTGGGGGGGAAGGAAATGCTTGTGCAAGAGGGCGAGTGGCGCGTCACCAAGGTGGGGAGGTGACACTTTTGCCTTCCCCAGGAACAAGTCGGGGATCTGGGGCTGGCGCTCGGAGAAGATGGAGATGGTCAGCGGCTACGAGGCCAAGGTGGGCACGGGGAAAGGGGAGGGGGGACACAGGGGACCCCCAGGGACCCACCGGTGATCTTGGGGACCCTCCCTTAGACCCTGGGCGCTAGAAGTTCTCCCCCATAAGGACCTCAAATCCCCTATAGGGACACCCTGAGGACATCTTCCAGTGGCGTTGGGGGTCCCCACACTTCAGCCCCCCCCCAGACATACTGGGGACCTCAGTCCCTGAGGTCCCCTGGTGGGCGACCTCGGGGTCCCACCTTCGTGGGACTGATCCTGTCCCCCCCCGGCAGGTGTACAGCGCCAGCAACGTGGAGCTGGTGACCAAGACGAGGACGGAGCACCTCTCCGACCAGGACAAGTCACGCAGCAAAGGTGACAGCCCCATCGGCCAATCAGGGAGCCCGCCAACAGCGGGGACACGCCCCCTCACCAACCCCTCCCTCCTGGTGCAAGGCCTGCCCCCTAGTGCAAGGTCCAACCCCTAGTGCAAGGTCCACCCCCTTCTTGGGTAGGAGATGTGTCAGGCCTTGGGTGACACGTTGGGTGTCACCATGTCAGCTGGGGACAGTGTGTGGGGTGTCACCTGTCAGGCATGGGACACCATGGGTGTGGGGTGTCACCCACCACTGTGGGTACTGGGTGTGAGCCATCAGGTGTGGGACAACATGTGGGGTGTCACCCATCAGATGTAGGTCACCATGGGTGTGAGATGTCACCTGTGAGGTGTGGGACACCGTGAGTGCTGGGTGTCACCCGTCAGGTGAGGGACAACATGTGGGGTGTCACCCATCAGATGTAGGTCACCATGGGTGTGAGGTGTCACCTGTGAGGTGTGGGACACCGTGGGTGCTGGGTGTGATGTGTCAGGCGTGGGACACGTGGGTGTCACCCGTCAGGTGTGGGACAACATGTGGGGTGTCACCCATCAGGTGTCGGTCACCGTGTGTGTGGGGTGTCACCCACCTCTGGCATGGGACACCATGGGTGCTGGCCATGACCCATCAGGTGTGGGACACCATGGGTGCTGGCTGTGATGTGTGGGACAGGTGGGTTCAGGTGTCACCCATCAGGTGCGGGGTGTGACGGGTGACATCCCGGGTGGACACGGGGTTGTGGTGCCCCCTGCCCACCCTGGACCCCCCCTCGTTTCTCCTTCCAGGCTCCAAGACCCCCTTCCACTCCTTCCTGGGCATTGCCCAGCAGCACGGCACCCACAACGGGGTGAGTGGCCGGGGTCTTGGTGGGGATGTGGGATGAGGTCTGGGGGGGGTCCCGGGGGACAGGGCTGAGGTTTGGGGGTGTCACACACCACAGGCGCCCGTGCTGCAGGCTGCCAGCCCCACCAACCCCACCGCCATCACCCCCGAGGAGTACTTTGACCCCCACTTCGACCTGGAGACCCGCAACATCGGGCGCCCCATCGAGATGTCCAGCAAGGTCCAGAGGTGAGGCCACCATCCTGGGGGGGGGTGACACAGACCCCGGGGACCAGTAGAAGGTGGCCACACGGCACTAGGGTGGTAGGACACCTGGGGAGGGTGACACTGTCCCCCGGGATGTGACATCGGGGTGTGGGGACCCACAGGTGGGGTGAGCTGGTCACTGGGATGTGACACCGGGGTGGCAGGGGACCTGTGGGGGGGTAGGGACACAGTCCTGGGGATGTGGCACCGGGTGTCAGGACTCACGGGGTTGACGATGGGGTCCCAGGGGAGGTGGCACTGGGTGTCAGGACCCCACATGGGGTGCCAGGGTCCATAGGGACGTGGCACTGGGTGCCAGGGGAGGTGGCACTGGGTGTTGGGACCCACAGGGGTGGTGACGGGGTCCCAGGGGATGTGGCACTGGGTGTCAGGGTCTCAGGAGATGTGGCACTGGTGGTGATAGGGTCCCAGGGGAGGTGGCACTGGGTGTCAGAGCCCGTGAGGGTGGTGATGGGGTCCCAGGGGACATGGCACTGGGTGTCAGGACCCCACATGAGGTGGCAGGGTCCATGGGGATGTGGCACTGGGTGTTGGGGTCCCAGGGGACATGGCACTGGGTCCCAGGGGAGGTGGCACTAGGTGTCAGGACACTTGGGGGTGGTGCCAGGGTCCCAGGGGAGGTGGCACTGGGTGTCAAGACCAATGAGGGGTGATGCCCGGAATGCCTATGGGACATGGCACTGGGTGTCAGGACCCTTGGAGGTGGTGTCAGGGTCTCAGGGGACGTGGCACTGGGTCCCAGGGAGGTGGCACTGGGTGTCAGGACCTGCAGGGGTGGTGATGGGGTCCCAGGAGAGGTGGCACTGGGTGTCAGAACCCTTGGAGGTGGTGCCAGGGTCGCAGGGGAGGTGGCACCAGGGTGTCAGGACCCATGGGGGTGGTGTCAGGGTCCCAGGGGAGGTGTCTCCGGGTGTCGGGGTGCCCAGGGGAGGTGTCTCTGGGTGTCGGGGTGCCCGTGCCCACCCCCGGTGCCCGGGCAGGTTCAAGGCGACGCTGTGGCTGTGCGAGCAGCACCCGCTGTCGCTGGCGGAGCAGGTGACGCCCATCATCGACCTGATGGCCATCTCCAACGCCCACTTCGCCAAGCTGAGGGACTTCATCACCCTCAAGCTGCCCCCCGGCTTCCCCGTCAAGATCGGTGAGGAGGGAAGGGGGGGTTGACATGGGGGGGCGTGGCCTGTCGTGGGGTGGGGCCACTGACCCTTGTACCCCCCCTTTTCCCCCCAGAAATCCCCCTCTTCCACGTCCTCAACGCCCGCATCACCTTCAGCAACCTCTGTGGGTGCGACCAGCCGCTGGGCTCTGTGCGGGTGTGCGCCCCCACCCCCGGCACCCAGCCCCCCAACCCCAGAGGTGAGGCTGGGGGGCTGCTGTGGGACGGGGGTGACTTGGAGATGGGGGTCTCCAGGGATATAGGGATCATCCCGGGGGTCCCCGGGCTGGGGGTGCTGGGTACCACCAGGTTGTCCATGGGTGGGGACAACCCACCATGGGTGGTGGGTGCTGGGGGGCTGTCAGGGCTGTGGGACCTGTGGGGACAGAGGGTGACGTGGCCATGGGCTGGGGGTGTAGGGTGCTGGGGGGTGTTCAGGGGTACGGGGCACCCATGGGTGGGGGGTGCTGTGGGGTGCTGTGGGACACCATGGGGTGCTGTGGGATGCCATGGGGTTCTATGGGATGCTGTGGGGTGCCGTAGGGTGCCGTGGGGTGCTGTGGGTGCCATGGGGTGCCACGAGGTGCCATGGGTACAGAGTGCTGTGGGATGCCATGCGGTTTGATGGGATGCCATGGGGTGCTGTGTGGTTGTGTAGGGTGCTGTGGGGTGCCACGGGGTGCTGTGGAGTGCCATGGGGTGCCACAGGGTGCTGTGGGGACCGGGTGTTGTGGGATGCCATGCGGTTTGATGGGATGCCATGGGGTGCTGTGTGGTTGTGTAGGTTGCTGTGGGGTGCCACGGGGTGCTGTGGAGTGCCATGGGGTGCCACAGGGTGCTGTGGGTACAGGGTGTTGTGGGATGCCATGCAGTTTGATGGGATGCTGTGGGGTGCCGTGGGTACTGTGGGATGCCATGCGGTTTGATGGGATGCTGTGGGGTTGTATGGGGTGCTGTGGGGTGCCACGGGGTGCTATGGGCACAGGGTACTGTGGGATGCCATGCAGTTCGATGGGATGCTGTGGGGTGCAGCGTGGTTGTGTGGGGTTCTGTGAGGTGCCATGGGATGCCTTGGAGTACCACGGGGTGCTGTGTTTTGCCATGGGATGCTGTGGGGTGCCGCGTGGTTGTGTGGGGTGCTGTGGGGTGCCACAGGGTGCTGTGGGGTGCCACGGGGTGCTGTGGGGTGCTGCGTGGTTGTGTGGGATGTTTTGGGGTGCCATGGGATGTTGCGGGGTACCACAGGGTACTGTGAGGTGCCATGGGGTGCCATGGAATGCCATAGGTACATGGTACTGTGGGATGCCAGGCGGTTCGATGGGATGCTGTGGGGTTGTGTGGGGTGCATTGTGCTGCCGTGGGGTGCGGCGCGGTTGTGTGGGGTGGTGCCATGGGGGGGGGGGGTGCCGTGGGGCGCTGACGGCACCCTGTGGCCGTGTTGTGTGGCAGGCTGGCCCTTCCCGTGCGAGGTGGAGGCGGGGGTGTTCGAGGTGCCGGCGGGGTACACGGTGCTGGGCGCGGGGCGCAGCGAGCCCCTGCGGGACGAGGACGACGACCTGCTGCAGTTCGCCATCCAGCAGAGCCTGCTGGACGCCGGCACCGAGACCGACCAGGTGGGACCACCCCTCCCCCAAAAAAAACCCCTCCCTCCTTGGCCACGCCCCCCTTGGGCGCAGGCCACGCCCCTAAGCCCCCCCCCCCCCCCCCCCCCCCGCGA